TCCCTTTCAGTCCCGTCCGTGTCTTTTTCCAAATCAACGTTTTCTAGGAAGAAAGCATGCAATAGTTCCATGACCAAAAGACGAAATTTGAAACATTATTCGCCATTCGTCTATGTGGTCTTGAGTCTATGTTTTTCTTGACTTTCATGCATGAGGTTAGAGTATTGATATACTCTAATAAAGGCATGTGAAGACAAGACTTTAAATGTGAAGGTAAATAGATTGTTTAGTTTATTGCCGTCCAATAACAGCAAAAATTATTAAGAGTGTAGGAGCTCTAGGCATCTGCTTCAGTCGAGTATACGCACAACTGAAGAAGCTATTCTTACAACTGTCTAAATAAGGAGCATTTCAGCGCAAGAAAAATAGAGATAATTTTTTTCAAATGCAGACAAATCCTAACCATTAAAAATGATTTGAAGCAAGATTTGCGGAGGCAAGGATTGGTGAACATAAGAAACAAAAGATACAGTGTTCGGGGCAAACTTTTGATTCCGGGTTCTCCACCTTTTATGGAACATTTAATGTGTTGAACACGAATAGAACTCTAGTTACGGTGAAATTGTCAAAAACAAAGATTCTGGGTCCTTTTTGATTGATAAGGACGAGTTTCAGAGGGACGATTTCAAAATTTCAAAATATGGTCGCGGAACGATTGTATGAACAAAACGTCCGCAGGGATTTTCGCACCAGGTTTTCTTACCCCAGCGAACTGCTTGAACTTCGGGAATAGCTTAGTTAAGGACTCAGCCATCATAATCTAGTAAGAACTCGAAATCCTCAGATTTGCCCGGACACTTTCTTTAACCAGCCTTCTTTTAAATCTTCCTCCTCTTCTTCTTTTCTACTGTTCTGAAAAATTATATTCTATTAAGAACACAATCTGTTGCATCATAAGAGAATCCTTCTACCATAAAATGAGATTCGCGATCTAGGGCCGAGTTGTAATATGACCAGTACTTTAAAAACTGTCAAAACTGCACATACAGACGTTTCTTCTTGCTCTCCTTATAATTTCTTTTCTAATAAGTCAAAAACGAGCTAGCTCGAAACTTAAATAAGATGATTTTACCTGTGAACCTAAATCCCACGCAACTTTTACTGATTTCAACAATCCTAAGAAGAATGTAGGGAAACCAGATCCTCATAATAACGTACTTCAAACTTCCAATAATAAGTTCCTATCAATTGCTTATAGATGATTTCTTCACTACAGTGTTCCTGGTCTATTCCACCATATGTGACGACTCCTCCATCCACGTTGTCTTCTTCTATAATGAGTCATGGCATATGAATAGAAATACTGCAGTGGGACAGTCATAGTTTTTTATCGCACGTATCTTACTTACGAGTTCCTCCTTTCATATATACTGTGAATACAGGTGCAACCAGGCCAAGATTCCATGCTAGTTCAAACGGCGAGACAATATCATACTGCGAGAGATTGGAAAATGCCAGTCCAACAACACCATCGATGGGATACTTAAGCAAATTTGCATGCAATACTGTGTTACACAATCAAGGTGTGGAAATCACATTAGCATAGATGTCAGCAATTTGGTAAGCAAGGCCAATCTTCATGCCGGGCACCAAAAGTTGATTTGTTCCAGAAGCGCCAAATCCCAATGTATCATTACCAAGAGTACCAAAAACTCCTTTCCAAGAAGCAGATTCTAACCGCCAGTACTATAATATTTATTGTTTATACTATACTATATGTTCGTCTCAGGGTCAATCAAAACTGCAACGTTTGTATCGCGACTAGCAAACTTACTTCTGATTCGAAATCCTCCCCGAGAGCAGTAAAAGTGGATGATTTTGATGAGTTGAAGTAGGCTTTGCCTCGACAAGGATTCCTCCTTCGGTGTTTTATCTTGTCACAACATATTTTGTAGGGACAGAAGACGTCACATATCACTGCAGAGACTTGCGTTAGATGCTAATTAATCACATTATTACATAGCGGATTACAAGATTCAATTTCTCCTTTGTTCTAATCAACTCACCTACTTAAGCTCCTCAGCATGCTCAAGAGTGAGTTAATTCATTGAAGAAAAAGATAAACGCTTAAGAATTCTTCACATACTTGTACTTCAATTCCCCAATGGTAAGACGGAAAGTCCTATCGGCCGAGGTGCTAAACAATAGACAGCGCGGCCT